TGGGATTGACTGTTTCTTGACTGTTTCCCACAGAATGCGCCAAACTGTTGCGGGCTAGAATATACGCGGCGATAGAGTTATTATTTTGTGTCTTAGCGTTATACGGATAACTAGCTCACAAACAAAGAACACAATATTTTTGACATGGAAAACCCTTGAAAAGGGAAAAAACCACGGGGCCTAACCCAGTTGAAAATGATTCCACTATAATTTGAGTCGGTTACAAAGGGCTGACCCGCCTCCAAGGGCGATAAGATTACAATTATCAATTATTTGATAGAAGTCTTGCGTTAGACCCGGTGTCACTTGGTAGTACCCTGGCGTCACCTAGAAGTTCGGGTGTTAGTTGGTAGTCTGGCCTTAAGCAGAACGCCGGGACTTGAGCAGAATGTCGGGCCTGAACGTTGGGCCTTGAGCAGAACGTTGGGTCTTGAGCAGAACATTGGGTCTTCAGTAGAACGTTAGGCCTTCAGCAGAACGTCGGACCTTCAACAAAACATTGGACATTCAGCAGAACGTCGGACCTTGAGCAGAACGTTGGGCCTTCAGCAGAACGTCGGGCCTTCAGCAGAACGTCGGAACTTGAGCAGAATGTAGGGCCTGAACGTCGGGCTTTAAGGTGGTGGTCCGGCGAAGCTCCGGCGGTGTTACGGCGAGGCTCCGGCGGTGGTCTGGCGAGCCCGGTGGTGGTCCGGCGAGGTTCCGTCAGTGGTTGAGGAGGAGCTTTTTCCTTCTCTTCTTCTCTTCTCTTCTTCTCTTCCCTTCTTACTTGAGTTCTCCCTTGTGAAGAATGAGGGCTCTATTTATAGATTTTCTAGAGTGGCATAGCTTGTAAATAGGCGTGAGATCAGGGGCGAATAGGGAGTGGTCGAATGGACGGCCGATATTGATTCCTACGATCATGCACCGTTCATTGGACATTTGAAGGCCTTAATGATGTCGGAATTCTGTGATCTTGGGCTCGTTGGATTTTTCTCGTCGAGCCGTTCGATTCGAGTATAAGCTCGTTAAAATCGGAGACAGTTTGGTAACTCAAATTGCGGTTTGAACCTTCCAACAACGCTTTGGGTCCATGATTCGGACCCATTTGGGCTCGGATTGGGTTGAATTTGGTGTCGTTGGATTCGTATTTCTGAGACGCTCAGTTTGAATATAATCTTGCTGAAATCGGAGTTCACGTGCTTCCGGATTTAATTTTTGAAGTTTTCAATTTGGGTTTTTCTTCGAGATTCGTGCCTGATCAAGATAATTTCATGATGACGTATCAATATGTAAATCCCCTTAACATTTGATTAAACTCAGCATATCTCAATGTTCTTAGTGTGTCAACTTATTTTTTTTTTATATTATAAATATGTGGGGCAGAGCTTCTCTTAGTAATAATTTTTGTGCTGCATGATGAACTCTTCCCTTATCAGAGTTCAACTCCAATGGCCCCCTTATGTCCACTTGGCTTAGGGTTTGCTTGGAATTGAGCTCATTGAAAGCAGGTTATATAGCTATTAGTTTTCTTCCTTTTCGCAACTGTTAGGTCACAACCTCATTTGTAGGTCAAGCATATATAAATAATTTGACACCTCAAAAACCTTAGGAATTCAATTAATGGCAGCAGCAGGAACAGTAAATTAGTATTTCTTGTTAGGCTCTGCAATAAATTATTTTATTTAGATGAGTCCCTCACTTTTTCTCTCTTCTCTTCTCTATTCCCAAAAATATCATTGAATGTTTTGAAACCCTAAACTATAAGGAAAAAAGAAAGGACAAAGGAGCACAGTAGAAAGATTGTGACCTTTCAACTACAATTTGATATGGAATGTTGATTGTGCTAAATTTTGAACATGTTTATTTGTGAGTGATTGTTAAAGTTGTTTATATGCAAGAAATGGTTAGATACTTGGTGGGTGGTCTAGTGGTACTAAATTTTATAATATAAAAAAGATCTTTGAGATAGACCTAGAAAACTAAATTATATGTTAGAGTATTAGGTTTACGGAGTTTCGTAATTGGGTTGTGACGAATTATAATAGTGTATGAATATAAAGTGATTGGCCCTTGCAAGCAAAAGTTCTAGGATTATTTTGTAATGAGAGTGCTAAATGACTTCAATGTGAAAATATTAGTAGCGATGAGAACAATGAGCTTGAAGCAATCATAAATGATAAAGTGAAAATAAAATACATAGAATACTAACATTTACATAATTCGGGTTTAACTATTCTTATGTCTATGGGAGATGAAAATGATTCGATTTACGAACAAAAAAATACAACTATATCATGATCCGAAATGTCAAAGTACATCCAAATAGATTTGAAAAGAATAAATCTAACAATCACACATTGTGGATATTACCTCACCCAAATCTTCCTTAATTATTCTCAATTTCACAGTTGTGATGCCTCACTTTTCATGATTTTATCTAATTCAAGCCATGAAAAATAGACTTTTTGATCCCTTAGGTTAGGTCAAAACTTATTTCTTGAAACACTTAGAATATGTTCAACTCAACATCATGCTTAGACTAAGATCAATCCTATCGAACCATCCATGTCGTCCATGTCCTTTAGTCTAAACATTAGTTCCTTGTTATTCACACCTACCACATCTAAGATGTTGACACTAATTAAATCTATTCTATCAAACTAAGGCATTATAATCTAGCTTGCCTATTTTTTTCTTTGAGAAGACCTTTGTTGCTCCCATTTACCACTACCTTTAGGTACCTTGGGAGCTCCAACCATTGCATAATTTTACAATATTGATTATAACCATTATATGTGAGGAACCTAGATCAATGTCATTGACATCACTTTTGATGGTTATCCATATTGTACCTTTTGTATAAGAAGTTAAGAAATAGTAAGGAGATAGACCACCTATATACTAACTTTCTTACAAATAGTAAAAGCTTGTTCAGCTAGTGAGGGCCCCATAATTTTTTTCCTTCAATAGTTTTCATGTAAAAATCATTTCTTCCAAGGTTTAGTTTATTTGGCTATTTATTTGAGATAAAAAAATCCACTTAGATCGATTTCATGAGTTTAGATAGGTGAAGTTATTCTTAAATGATTGACCTCTTCTTTTACCTTTGGATATGAAAATACCTTTTTTGAATTCCTCTCCTTTCATATTACAAAAAAATAAAATAAATAAAGAAGACTTAAAATAAGGTTATAGAGCCTATACGAGGAGCTACATATTGTACGATGTATTGTGCCTAATGATCATATAGATTTGTTCTTCATGTAGATTAAAATTGATTCTATATAATTGCAAAAATATGAATAAACAAATTTATATTTCATTTGAATCTAAAGATCTAGGCATAATGTATAAAATAAATTGACCAATTTAATTAGTAGATAGTCTACTAGGCATAAGAATTTTAAACTATTACAAAGAGTGAGAATGCATGAGTAAGGTGTAAATTTTGAGATATTTTAATGCATTGGTAGTGTAGAAATATTTTTAGAATTTCTTGAACTATTCTTTTTTTTTTTAATGAATTTTTAATGCATGGAAGATGCATAAAATATATTTGAATATTTTGTGAAATGCATAGAATTATACTTATATGTAGAGGATGATATGGTTGTTATATAATTAACCCATATTTTTTAATATATTTTCCTGAATAATGGAAGTTTATAATTTATTAAATTAGCATTTTAATTATATAACATATATTAACTTTGATAAAAAAATATTTTTATAGATCCATAAAAATAATTTATTGCATTTTTTATTTAATAAAATTGCTTTCATAATTTTTAGTAAATATATAATTTATATTAATTATTTTATCCAGCTTTAAATAAAAATTTAAAGTCTTATTAGATAACAAACTATTGATTATGTAAATAATTATACAAATTTTTAGCCATTCAAAAGAAATCTCATGTTAGGCTATAAGATTTTAGTTTGGTTAAATGTGCATAGGTTCCTAGTCCTCTTATACTATCTATAAAGAAATCTAAGGTCTTCCTAGGGATTGGAGAGAGATACTATCTTTAGGTGATGAGTGACATAAGCATAAATGATTTATCCTTTAGTGAGATTTGACTTTCTAGGCTCACTTAAGCTTATTCTTATGCCATTTATTACTTAGGTGGCTAGCTAGCTTAAAGCATAATCCTTCAAATTTTGATAAATGATCATGGTTTTGATAATTATACATGTCCTTATTTAGCCCTTTTTACATAGGAATATGTTAGTAAATGTTTATAGAGTTTAAATTGGTTTAGAGGTGGCAAATACACCAGTCAGTAGCTAATTTGATATCTTAGCATTAATTTAGCTAAGTTTTAGTGATATGAGGTATTTACATTTATTCATGCTTTTAAGAGCTCATTAGACTAACTCCTAAGGAATAAATGGTTAGTTTAGGGTTTATGGAAACAACTAAGGATAATTAGATTAGGTCAAGACCATATGCTAGGTTAATTAAACTATGTTTGATTCATCTAGGGTGTTTTGATTGATCCTATAGTTTAGTTCACTTATAAGCTAGACAACTTGGTTAAGTCCTTAGAGTCTATGCTAGCTAGGCATGGTCAAATGGAGTTGGGCCAACATGAGTTAACTCAATTTTAGGTCTAAGCTATGTTTGACCTACTCAAGATAGGGTTGGTGAATCAATGTTTATGATTTTTTTTTTCTAACAATAAATAATTTTATTAAAGTTAATAAAATATATAATTTTTTTATTTATTAGTATAAAAAATAAAGAAAATAAAAAAATAACATTTCAACAATCATTGATTAAGCATAGAGTCCTACATTTTTTTTCTTAACGGCGGATAATACTATAATCTTGAATAAATACAAATAAATCATAAGTGTGATCCTTTAATTGAGAGTATATATATCCTTTAATTGGTACTTTATATTATAAAAAAATAAAATTATATATATAACTAACAAATTAGGATAAAAAATTAAGAATTAAAATGGGCTGAATTCGAGCAATGACTCTATTAAAAAAAAAAAAAACTTTTCCCAAATATACAAATGCACACAATACAGTGTTAATTAATGTATAATTAAACCTTATAGATAATTAAAAAACAGGGAAGAACCGCCCGAGCATCGAACACCAATAACTCCTCTTCACCGAGTCTGACCGAGTCAACTCCGGATCCCATCTCCTCCGGGTCCCCGACACGGCCCACAATAACCCGACAAACCATCATACCCCTTCGACGCGATCCGCCACCGCAGCACTCGTGGGCCCCACCGCTTCCGGCGAAGGTCCGCACCCCCTCCATCTTCCCCACTTTGCATCGCGCTAATCCGCCGTCGGCGGCCGTCGCGTGGAAGCGAAGCATCTCGTTGCCGTCGGCAGCGCAGCGAGGGTCGTTGGAATCGAGGCGGAGGACGGCAGTGCGGCGGGCCTCGAAGGCTGCGATGGCAAGCGGGGTGTGGCGGATGCGGAATAGCATGTCAATGTGGAAGGGGAAAGGAAGGGACCAGCTTGAACGGAAGATTATTTCGATTATGCGACGGGAAGAATGGGTTGCCGGGAGCTTCGAGAGTGTTGGAAGAGGTGGAGGCGGTGACGGCGGCGGCCGAGGGGGAAAAGGAGGGCTGTTGTGGTGCGATTTCGGTATCTGTTTGGGAGAGAGATTAGGATTTGGTATCGAGGTGTTAGTTTGGGAGCGAGTATGTTGGGGCTTTTGGGTAGAGAAATGGGGGGTTTTGGGGAGGAGGAAGAAGACGTCGAGAAGGGCTTGAGAGGAACTGTGGCAAGATAGTGATGGATTTCTTGAGGAGGAGGATGGCTGGCGTTTCTTTGGGAGCTGAACTATGTCATCCAAGGCGTTGGATTTGCAGTAGAGAGGTTTCAGCCAACGGAAGGGCATTTCTGCCGGAGAATGGCAGCTGAGATCGCCGCCGGTGATGGAGAAGAGAAGAGTAAGAGAGAGAGAGAGAGAAGGTCCCCGGAATTTAAATGGCGCTCAGGGTCTTATTCCGTTGATTATTCCAGTATGGGCTCAATTGTTGTTTATAAATAATTTTATTTTTGAAAGTTATGATTTATTTTAATTTATTTTATAAGCAAGAAAATTAGGAATATTATGGAAAGTATTTATAAAAAAATATAAAGTTAAATTATATATATATATATATATATATATATATATATATATATGAAAAAATGTGATATGTATGTAAATCTAAGAAAATTATATCAAAAAAAAAAAAAAAAAAAAGCAATGCAAGTAATATATAACTAGTAAAAGGGATTTTATATGTTTCAGCCCAAACCCACTTATATCCATAATATATAACTATAAACATAAATTTCAGATGATATTATAACACTTAATTTTGTTGATTTCTAATCTTTTAGCTTGCATGAAAATTTAGAATTTTTTTTACTCATAAGATTTTTAATGAACTAATCATTGAATACTTTTAAAAAGAAGGATTCAACTTTAGAAGCATTTAAAAATTTTAAGGCTTAGATAAATCATAAAATAATTAATTCATTTGGTATTTTTTGAAACTCTATTTATAGAGAAAAATATCGCTAAGATATTCTTAAAATGATTCTTTCCATTGGATATCTATTGTGAAAATCCTTCAAAAAAAGTCTCATAAATAGTTATCATTGTAGGATAAGTCGCCAAATTTCTTAATGTTTGAAGCTTGGTGCTGATACAATAGAGTTGCTCTGGAATTTTATGATTGTGCATTTCTTGGATAGCATGGGAGTATGCTTTCTAGTAATATTGATTGTATTTTTAAAACTAGCATAGTTTAGCTAATATTTCATATAAGTATGACATATTTTATATCAATGCCAAAGGGAAATTATATTATTAAATGCTTCACATAATCTTCTAAATCCAACATTCTCAAGAGTCATATATGAAAAACTATTTGGGTCACTTTTATTATAGTCAAACTCATGTAAGGACTCTTTAGCAAGTAGTCTAATCCTAATCATTTGAATATTAATGTTTGATCAACCAAATGTATTTATGGATGACATATGAACATACTAGCAAGTAACCTCTAAGTGAGAGTTAGATAATTAGGTAAGAATTGAGCGAGTATGTAGAGAATACAGGGCACTAGAATATCTATAAATCTCTCCAAAAAGATCCAAAAAATGCATATTTACCCTTTAATTATTGGGCTTAGAAGGTTATGGGAAAGACTAAACCTAAAAATATAACAAAGTATAAAATACTATAGGACTTTTATGAGTTGTCACAAACACGTACCTAGTTGGTTGATTTCCACATGGATCCCTGCCTTTGGCATTGCATTTTGGTCCAAGGTGAGTCTCAAGAACAGGAGAGATTATTTGCTTCAGACACTGAACACAGGTTATCGTTCGGTACTTTAGAGTACCAAGTAATAGTGAACTTGGTACTGTGGAGTACCGAGCTCATACAGAGCTCAATACCAAGTAGGGGGTGATGTGGTGCATTTTCATTGGGCTCCGGACGTCGTTCAGTGTCCCGACCAAATAATTTCCCCAAGAGAGAAGAGGGTGCCTTTGGCTAGTCTTTGAGATTTGGTATATAGGGTCAGTTTGTGAATGTGAGCCCTTTGGATATGCGAGAGTTCATATAGGTGCTACTTAGACCTCCAGGCATAATAGGTAAGTTTATATTTTGACGATTCAAACTTATATGATATTTTAGAATAAGAGTCATATCCTCCTTTTTTAAGCTATCATCTTTGGATTTAATTCTCTTGAGTGTTCTTATACTAGGAATACATTTCCTAAGACTAAACTAATTAGCATCTTATAGAAAGATATAATTGTTTAATCTCAATACTCGTCTTCCTATGATCACACATTTCTCATTCTAAGAGCTTGTTCTTATCCTTCGCCATATCATAAATTATTATCAACCGCATCTTTGAAACTTAGCATTCCATCATACATTTGCATCATTGTTTATATATTAAGGATTGCCTATCTAATCATGATTCACTATTCATTGACTTCTATCAACCCTTTTTATTAAGTCTTCTTACTTTGTTTGATGGAAAAAAAATCAACTTTGTTTAATGTATATAAGCGAGATTCCTCAATCAATATTTTTCTTGAGTATTTCTGAAGATGTAATTGATGTCAGCAATAATATTCCTAGCAGAAGCCTCCGTAGTTAAAACATTTAATTTAAATATGAAATTTTTTTTTTTCTGAATTTGAACATCCATCTACTTATGAATTAGCACCCCTCCTATTATAGACCCATAAAATAATCATAATGTGAAAAAATATTTTGTTTAAAACTTACATTAAAACAAAGCTCATGCAAGAAATAAATAAAGTATTCTATTTGAAGGTATAACTATAAATAAAAGGTGGCCACAAAATATATTGGTTGTCAAAAACTGCACAATGATATGAAAAAAAGATGTTGGAACACATTCTAATATAAAGAAAGTACATAAGATCAATTTTTTCATCCTTCTAAATATTATAACTTTTCACTAAGATACTTTCAATCAAGGCTGAAATATGAACAAGAGATTATTAGAGCTTTCACTGCAGGAAAATCAAGCGTTACCGGCGGCCAAAACCCTTCAGTAACCACAAAATTCTGTTGAAAAATTTGAGTTTCCGGCGGAACCTCATTTGACGGTAAAATGTGCGTCAGAAACATTCTTCCAGGGGAAAAACTTCTTCGGAAATGTTTCTGGCAAGCTTACCAGCATAATTCCAATGGAAAACAGAAGTATGATGCATCATTTTTTAGTTATTAGTTATGATATATTATCCACTGGAATTTCTGACATAAATTTATCGCTTTGTCCAACGGAGTTTTTCAGTGGATAATCCATCGGGAATGCTGGCAGTAAATCTCTGCCACAAAGTTGATACATTTTGTTGTATCAATAGTTCCGACGGATTATCCCAAAAAAATTGCCATAAACCTCAAGCAAAAAAAAAAAAAAAAACTCACTTTAATGTTTATGTTTTCTACAACATAATAAACTTGCATAAAAATATACAAAAAATCATATTCATTCAAAAAATTAAACATAAAAAAATTAATTTAACATTTAACAAATAGCTTAATAATAAATTTGATCATTACAAATTCATTAAACATTCACCAGTTTAAAATGAAATATAAAATTTCTTCTTTAAATAATAAAAAATGGACAATAAAATAAATAACTACACAAAAAATATATAATCAGAATTAGTCTCCTCCTCTGCTGAAGCTATCTGGTTTCCACTGGATTCCTCTCTAATTTTCTGAAGCTCATCCAACAACTGAGTTTGTTGCATGTACATCTATATGTCAGCTTGTAATTTCCTAACTTGTTCTAGCTCGATTGTAAGGACAACTACTAGTTGGCTGTACAACAATGCCTTGCTAATTGCTGAAAAGGTGGGGCCACCAGATAAACCGGCCCTTTCTACATTTCTCCTACTCCTTGCGACCAAGTTCTATTGTCATAATATTCAACTAATCCACTAGCTAGAAGATCACTCACCTGCACCTGCCTGGCTCTCTCAAAGCTATTATACTCGTCCTCTAAAAATTAATATAAAAATAAAAAATTTACACATGACACCAAAAATATTAAACTAATATACTCACGTAGGCTCTCTTTGCTCGATCATCAACCCATTACTGGTCCTCCTATCACTTATGGGTATGATTGTGCAACTCTATAGTGATTGGTTATCTACCTAGTATCTCTTTGTATAATATACTTATATTAGTATTCATATCTAAATAAATTATTAAAATCTTTTAAAATTACTTACCAAGCGTCGCATGTGCTCAATATGTGGAACCAAGCCCCTAGTGGAGAGAACAACCTATGCCCCCAACATCAAAAGCTTGATTATGTTTATTCTCATCCCTCCTCCTGGCATAATCTGGGCTACCCTAAGTATAAGTCAAGTCAGCTCAGCTCATACACTCTCACCAATAAAATATCTAGTAGACAATCGGTTATACATTTGACTTCTTTGATTTCTAATATTTATAATATAATCTACATTTAATATGAAGATATTAGATATTATAATAATATATGTTGAAGAGAAATAAATGGAATTCAAATTGATTTGTAAATTGAATGGTGTTATTTCACACAGGTCCCTAGCCTATCAAAGACAAATCTAGCAGCCTTCGGGTGTCTCCCATGTTTAGGGGCAATATAAAGAGTCTTAGCCTGCTCACCACGTCAAGAAAGATGTGCACGATCAGTGTAGGGTGACACCGCGTCAGTGGCCTTTAATTCTACTACGCCAAGAAAAGCGTGTATATGTCTTCAGGGGGGTACCTGTGTGAAAATGTAGTTTGCGTTAGAGATATTTTAGTGGATTTACCAACATAAGCGAAATCTAAGACCCCTAAACCTTTCTTACATAAGCCAAATCTAATACTTCTACTTTCCTAATTAGGTCAACAAGAGGCAGCCATTTTATGTAAGCAAACCATCTAAGGCGACTTTGTCACTCATGAGAATTCTATAATTTGCAAACACTTGACTTAATGTTATGCTTCTCGTTTAATGACATTTTACATCATAAAGAATTGCAAATATCTATCGAGGAAATCAACTCCCTCTCTAGCCTTATCAACAAAAAGAATATCATCAACAAAATGAATATACCATAGACTACAATGACTTCTAAATGTCTACAAAGAACATCCATGAACAAAGAAAACCTAACGTGCGACTTATAGTGGTGGGTTGATGGAGGCATTGGCAGAGAACGCTGATGGAGAATGTCGGCAACAAAGCGAACACGTCAACAATAGAGGTGAACGTCGACGACGAAGGCGAACATTGGTGATGGAGGTGAAAGTTGACGATGAAGACGAGTGAGGGAGCGAGAGCAAGCAGGAGTGAAATGAAAATAGTGTCTCCGCGGAAAGGGAAATAGGGTTCTTTCCGGCGGCTTATTCTCCAGAAATATTTTCGGCATATTTTTCGCC